CCCCCACCCACACTTAAGAACGACATTGTCCTCAATGGAGGAAAGATGAGGGTAGAACAAAGTTACCAGATCAACGGTGAATGATGGTGGACGGGGCAGGCGGTGCATTCAAGGAGGAAAGAGTAGTCGGAACACAAACACCACAAACAATCTCACAAAGGTTGAGTTATTGACTCTAAAATCAAAGAACAAAACTGACTCAACCGAGGAGAAATAGAGAAAGAAATGCAAACCGACTGGTTAGGTTGCCTCCCAACAAGCGCTTCTTTCGCGTCGTGAGCCGGACGATGGCTCCTAAGTTTCGGTCCACCCCAGAACCTCTTTGAAGTTGAGGTTCTCTTCGATGAGGTGGAGTCTCAAGTCACGAACATGTGGTATGACAGGTGATGGAAGCTCTTGCACTTGATGCAGATAAAGTCTCCACCCACGAGACCTCTTCTTCTCTTCTATCGTCTGATTGCCCCAAACCAGATATGAAAACATCGATTGACCACCATTGCGTTCACCAAGAGGGACTGATGTCGATGTGGCCTTGGTCTGGCAAAGAGACACTGCAAATGGGTCCTTGCTAAGCAATTCCTCGAAGTTTGGTGGAGATATCACATGTAACTCATGGCCGGTGCAGGCCTCTTCCACCTCAACTCCGTCCTCAGCCTGGACGCCAATTGCTTCTTCAACCTCCCTTCCTTCTTCATGTGGTATCACCCTTGGGAAATGGTCAAGAACTCCTTCTGCTTCATTTTTGTCATCCTCCACAACTTCTTTTTGCATCCTTTCTCGCTCTTCTTCTTCTAGCACGGATTGGAGAGCAAGTCGACAAGCAATTTCTTTCATGAGATCTTCTTGCATCTCCTTGCTCATGCTCACCTCTTCAAAGCTCAGTGTGGGATATGGGAAGGTGTGGTCGGCTATGACAGGACATTCCTGATCATGATCATCACGGGACCTCTCCGTGACAACTTCTGTGTGCTCCACATTGTCCTTGTAGCCTTCTTCTTCCTCCTCCTCTTCCAGTATGGTAGCAGAAGGGTGATCTTGAGCAGGTTGTGCATAAGATTGCTCAAGATCATCGAGGCTCTTCTTAATGCTTAGGAGGATCTCCTCTGTTTCACGATAGGCCTGGGTACAAAGATCCATCCTGGACCATGATCTCTCACTGTCTCGAGAAAACTGCTCCATGAGAAGCCTCAATTCATAGTTCGGATCTGGCTGTGGAGCATAGCAAGGCTCTGCAGAATGGCCCGTGAAGGCCGCCATGGGTAACTCCAACTCCGATGGCCCTTCTGGTTGTGGGAGAAATTCTTCTTGATAAGGATCCATGATTGGAGAAGCCATGAGGATCCATGATTCAGATCTGCACCAACAAAAACAAAAACACCCAAGTGAAAAGCAAGGGTGGAAAAGAAAAGAAAAACGCTAAAATAACAAACTTCTGCCTTCCTAATACTCTAGAAAGTCCCCGGCAACGGCGCCAAAAACTTGACTCGCTATGACACAACTCCTAACAATGGCCAAGAGGAACCAATGAAAGGGACTGCAGTATAGTGGCTCAAGTAATAAATATCAAATCCACGGGTCTCTAGAGTTACTATTACTCAGCTTCAGTTCATTATCTAGCAAACCAAATTAAGATAGAACAACTAAAACAACTCTAGTAAACTACAGTTAAAGTTAATCTAATTACAGGTTGGGAACTCACTAGGTATGATTCCCCCAGCCACTAGCCAGATTAATGATTGATGATCTCTAACCTGTTTTACTTTCATTCACAATGCGGAGAACCCTTGACTAGACCTTGAGTCTCGACTAAAGGAACAAGGCCCTCTTGAGTCAATTTCCTAATGGGACGTATCCTTCTCTAGAGCAACCGATCAAGGCGTTCTGAACTAGACTCCCTCTACCGAATGAGGTTCTAAATCGATACAAAGAAAGTAATCAACCCTCGACTAAAGCAATCGATCCAATACTATCAATCTATAGTGCTCTATTGACCTAATCAGGTATTCGCTCTCATAGTATCAAAGCAGAATCAATAATCTCGACTAAAGTAGAATTGAATCATGAAAACATGCATATATTGAATATGAACTCAAGATTATCAAGTAAGAGTACTCATACAATCATCCAATCAAACAAACATAGCTAGGGTTCCTCAAAACCTAAGTGAAGGGAAGTTACTCCATAGAGAAGAGAGAGACTGCAGTAAGAATATTCAGATGATCAGTCTTCAAGTCCGGGCTTGTTCCTCGAGTTTCCAAGGCAAAGAAATCCTCCAATTCCACTCCAAGAATGCCCTCAAATCGCCCTCTCTCTCTTTGGTTCGTCCCTTGGGTGTTTGGGAACCAAAATCCAGCTCTCTCCTGCAAAAACGCACAAAACAGGATTTTAACAGCCTGCAATCGCGATCCCCGATCATAATACTCGGTCGGGTATTTTAGGTGGCGACCGGGGATTGTTGAAATGCAGCGTCGGGGACAGGGGGTTAATCCGCGGTCTGGGTCAAGAATACCCGACCGAGGATTTATGATTAATGCCCGGGCCCTCTTCTGCTTCTCAAACGCACAAAACAGGTTTTCCCCGGTCTGCTCCGATTAATACCCGGCCGGGTACTTTTGCTAATGGCCGGGTATTTTGCTCCTCTAGCGCACTTAAACCCAAACGTGCTCCTTTCGACCCGAAACTCGTTTCTTCGCCTCGATGCCAACGCTAAGCCCTGAAATATGACATAAACGCACAACCTAGCGTGAAATCGGCTTAAAACACGAGAATCAACATCTCCAACGGCTCAAGAATAGGGGTAAAAACATGTGCAATTAATGGTCTATCAGCTACTATAATCAATAAAAACACAACGAGCAGTCTTCGGGGATAACTTGTCACGCGCCTTCTTGGGAAGAAGCACAAAAAAACCATAGTCAACCAAACACCCGGAGTCGAGAATAATCGGGTACTTACCATAGAGCTGCTAATATGGAGAATGATTACCAAGGACTGGAGTGACCTTGCGATTGATCAAATAAACAACGGTACTGACGGCTTCGACCCAAAAAGTACGCGGTATCCGAGAGTGAAACAACAAGGCTCGTGTCAACTCAGAACATGCCGATGTTTACGTTCAACAAGACCGTTCTGTTTGGATATACCGGGGCAAGATTGCTGAGGCAAGATGCTGTTTTCCTTGTAAAAATCAAGTAACGGAGTCGAACTGAATTCCCCACCAGGATCAGATCGAATGGCTTTGAATGTCTTACCAAATTGAGTGAGAACCATCTGAACAAAATGTTTGGCATCTGTGATTAGCTCTGACTTCCGACGTAGAAAATAGATCCAAGCAAACCGAGTAGTGTGATCGATGACCAGGGCGAAATATCTATAGCCCATGCGAGAGACGACAGGTGATGGACCCCATAAGTCGTGTGGACAAGATCAAAGGGCTCGGCATAGACTGTCTCGCTGGGTGAGAAGGGTGATTGGGAAGTTTTTGCTTCAATACAACTAATACACGCATCATTAATATCAATAGTAAAAACCAAACGGTCGGGAAGCAAATGACGATGAAACATATCCAATAAATGAGCCTTGTGGGGATGCCCAAGACGGCAATGCCACAAATTCCATAGAGTATTGTGTTTTCGAAAATCCAAAGAGCCCTTAGCTTACAGCAAAAAAAGAATGATTAGCCAATGAACCAGAAGAATCCGACTGAGTGGTTGAAATAGCCGACCCCCCACTAGATTGTAAACAACTAACAGCACCATCCATGCGTGTCTCCATCCTAGACGGCGGGTGCGACTCCAAGGTAGCCTCCGATGCACCATGACTATCCAGAGCGAAAACACAATCCGTCTTCTTACCCTTCCCGATCACCCTCCCTGTTTTCGGATCCTACACAACACACCCGAAACTGTCAAACCACACTTCGGAGCCATCTTCTATCAACTGCCCAACCGAGACCAAATTTGGGACCAACTCAGGAACATAAAGAGTATTAGCCAAGCTCACACGACCAGTCGTGGCCGTACCAATACCATGCCCAAGAATACGATCACCATTAGCGACTTGTAAAGAGGCAACAGATGAGGGTTTCAAAGAAGTAAAACTAGAACGAGCATTTGTCATATGATTAAATGTCGTAGAATCGAGTAACCAACGAGAATTACCTGAGGCGCCACCAGTGGCAAAAGCAAAAGTGAGGGCATCTGGGAGGGTCTCCTGGAGCACATCCTCCACCAATCGGCGCACAACCTCAGCAGTCAACGGGGGCGAAGTGGACGGGCCAGATCTACCAGTAGTCACGACAGGACGAGCAGGGGCAGCTTCGACAGCATACCCAGGTCCAGAGCGACGGTCAGAAGAACCGGAAGGACGAGACGGACCAGAGTTAGAACCACGAGAACGATTGCGACGAGCCAATGACTTACACTCCAGAATAATATGCCCAGAACGCTTGTAGTGCAAACATTACGCTTCTTGCAGTCAGGCTGAATATGACCAAGTTCATTACAAAAATGACACGTGAGATGACTCGTATCACCAGACTGAAACTGGGGATGCCCAGAACCACCGCGTCCAACAGCAAAGGCCGACTCCCCAGATGAAGACGACTGATCGAGTTAATGCTGGCTACGGAGACGCGTCTCCTCGCGAATGAGCTTAGCGAGGGCCACATCAATGGAACCAACCTGTCGATGAAGATGCGAAGCTCGAATCGGCTCAAAGTCAGGGCGGAGCTTCATCAAAAACTGCATAAGACGAGCCTGAGATTGTTCTGCCATCATTTCAGCTGAGAGCACCATGTCAAATAATCAAAAGCACAAGCAAGAGCACCAAGGTTTTTTAACGTGGTATTGTCAATATGACACTAGTCCACGGAGAGGATCTCCCTCTGAGGTTTTTTTATCTTATTTTCGTTACCTTTTCACCAAGTATACAAGGTACATATATATAGGTTTCTCTAGAAACCCTATTCTGTTCGGCTAAGGATAATTACATAATGGTACATGAACTATTATAAACTAATATCCTCAACCCAGGTACATCGTGTTCATCAGCTTCCGAGGCGACGACGTCTGCGACACCTTCTTCAGCCATCTCCACGATCACCTCAGCCGCCACAAGAAGATCCTCACCTACATGGACGACGCCCACCTCGCCCGAGGTCAATCAATTTCGGCGTCCCTCTCGGCCGCGATCTAGAGTTCGACGGTCTACGTCTTGATCCTGTCGCCGAACTACGTCGGGTCCAGATGGTTCTTGGACGAGCTTGTGATAGTCCTGGAGTGCGAGGAGCGTTACGACAAGAGAGTGATTTCGGTGTTCTACAGCAGGGTGGGTCCCGGTGACGTGGGGGAGCAACGTGGGAAGTATGGGAAGAAGGTTACATCCTCCGCCGTTGCCATTGTTTGTGACTTTGTTTTTAAATATTTTTTACTTTATTGTAATAATAAGGTGGAAATTATTAAAAATTAATTTTTCTTATTTTAATTTTTTTAATGGTCACGTCACTCATTTAACGGTCAACTATAAGAGTTGACCGCCATATCAGCGAAAGTTAACGGAGACTAACGGCTAGTGACCAAACATGAACAGTTAACCTAATTTAAGTGACTACGGATGGAATAAAGTAATTCTAGTGGCTAACGTGAAATTACTAGTAATTCAATTGACAAAACTTGCAATTTAGCCCCCTCCAATTATATGAGAATTTGGGGTGTCGTAGGGGAGCAAATCCAGTCAGTAACCTTGTGGTGCAATAACCCCATGCATAACACAATAAGAATTTGCCACGTCAGCGCCTCCTTCTCTCTCCTCGAAAAAGCTTTAATTTTCCTTTCTTTAATCTTTAACTGATTATTTTTCACTCGTTTTAAGTCGAAATTTAATTTTTTTGCACAATTAGATTAGTTTAATCGTGCTTTTCATAATGATATCCACTTTGATATTTTTTGGAGTAAAAAAAAATTGACAGTTATTACCAGTCTATATCATATGGTATTGATCGTACCATATGTTATTGACTGGTATTAAATAAGAGTATACCATATGGTATGAAAAATACCACCCAATACTAGGGTGGTATAGAATGGTATGTAGTTGGTAACGAGAGGTATGCAATTTTTTCACCCAGAAAATTTTGAAATCCAATAGATCATATGATTAAATCGTTCCTTTTGTGCCAAAATTTCCGAAAACGACTAAAAAACGAAGGAGAGACCATATGGTACGGAGTTGGTAACGAGAGGTTTTTTTCTCAAAAAATATTGAAATGGATATCATTTTGTAGAGCACAACGAACTCGTTCCATCTGTGCAAAAAAATTGAAATCCGAATTAGAATGAAGAAGATATGATCCAATTAAGAAAACTAGGGAAAATATTTTTTTTTTAATTCTCCACCCTTAGACCTGTAGCCACTTAAAAGAAGAGTTCAGATTTGGTTACTCATAGTGATGTACCCTAAGGTTACGCATCAATAAAAAGATCAAATGGGTGTTATATATAGGGAAATGAATGTTCATGTGGATAATTAGAAAATTAAAGCAGCAAGTTGGCTGGATTAGGTACAGGATTTATCATATTTGGAAGGAGAGAAGGGAAAATGATTAATGAATAACAACCACGGGTTAGATAGGGCCACTAGCCTTTCTTTTTTTCTCTGGGAAGTTTCCTCGAGACATGAAATAATCAATTAAATGGAGACAAATTGAGGTTAAAACAATGCCAAGTTGTTGTTCTTAATTTCTTAAACATATTTTGTTTCCTTTTAAGAGATAGTGAAAGTGTAATAGAGTTCGGTTAAAGCCTAGTGGAAGGAAAACAACGCAATACGATGAGGGTAGATAATAGGTTCCAAGCATAATTCCATTACCACCAACCATACTCTTTTTGGTTGTCACATTTGTTGGATGAAGCTGCCATATCTATGATTTGCAATGAATTTGAGTGGAGAAGTCAAAATATGAATGTTGGATACTACCCATCAATTAGTGGTCTGGGTTCCCAAGCAACAGAATTGGGGGGCAAGGCCCGAAAATGGTTCCGTGAAATACCTCTAGGCCCAAGCAAGAGGAAGGGCGCATAAGGACAAAACACTAAAAGCCAAGGGAGACCAGGCTGTCAGGTGGTCCATTGCCTGCGGGCGCCTATCACGCGTCAGAAGTCTGACAAGGCAGTAGAGATATCTGACAAAGAGGGTACAAAGCATTAAATAGGGACAGTGACGTGGAGGAGATCAACCTCGAGTTCGGTGACTTCATGTTTACTTACGTCATTTCGTATTAAGAAAAAGAGCCCAATTTCGCGCCCATTAATTTCGTGATAGTAAAGACGCCCAACTTGGAGACTGATGATGGGTTTAAGTGTAAATAGTTAAGGAAAGTCAGTAAAGCGCCCGTTTTGCGCCCTTCAAAAAGCAAAGCGCCCCAATATTGCGCCCTGAGTCAGAACAATAACGCGCCCAACTTTGCGCCCAATAGCCACAAAGCGCCCTCATTTTTTGCGCCCTAAAAGCACGAACTAAGTTAATTAAAAGATTCAAAGGCCCCAAGATATGATGCAATCACCAAAGGAAACGTCTTTATATATATAAAAAATGCAACAGGATTCTACTTAAGCGGCGCTCATTCTTTACTCTGCTCCAGAATTGGCATCTTCAGCACTAGGCGCCTTCGGAGAAAGCGACGCAAGAGCGGACCCACTAGGAGGCGCATCGGCAGCAAAAGGCTCGGGCGCCCCTCCCGTTCCGCGTGGAGTCTCCAGCCCCCCGATCACATACTCGGCCATCTCAGTAAGGTGCCAAGTATGGTCGGGGTGATCCTTCTCCAGCTTATACTTCAAAATGTCGAGGCCGGTCAAGATGGCGTTGGCGCACATCCCCTTTCCAACCTCGGACTCCTCGAAGGTATCCAAAGAGCGGCGCAGGTCAGAAATTTCTTTATGCGCCTCTTTCAAGGACTTCTTAGTCTCCTTGCAGGCGTCCTGCCACCACTTCTTCTCCTCTTTGAGGATATCTATCTCGCTGGCTTGGGCAGCTGCCTCCTGCGCCAGCGCCTCCTTCTCCGCTTGAAGATCCGCCAACTTCCTGCGCTTATCGTCAAGAGCGCCCTGAAGTCGCGACACCTCCATGGCCGCGTTCATCTGTGCATCCTCGCACTCTTTCGCTAGTTGCTCGCGACGCGCGGTCGCGTTTTCTAAGTCGTACTTCATGGAGGCAACAGAGGTAGAGGCTTCGAGCGCCTCTCGTGTTGATTCATTGAGGCGCCGGGCGCCTCTTTCAGCAAAAAGGAGGATCTGCACAAACCAAAACAAGAAGGATTAACACTTTGTACAAGTAACAAACAAGACAACTCCACAACCACAAGAGTATATACATTGGCGCCCACTTGGGCCAGTTCGGCGAAGAGGTGGTCCCCATTCACCTCCGACGGGACTTGCCACGACTTGGCAGCCGAGATTGCCAATCCCATGGTGCAGCCTCGGTCGACTGCCGCTAGCGGGGAGCAGGACAGGTCGATGCGCCCAACATCTGAGCGGCCCGGCTGGAATATGGGAGGGCGCCTGTCGGGGCCCACATAGCGCCCCTCTTCATTGAGGTGGTATTGGGCGCCCTCCCCATCACCCACAGCAGCGGCGCCTTCTTTACCCTTCCCTTTGTCAGCCCTTTTGCTGGCAGGGGCCAAGGGGGAGCCGGCCCTTTTTCCCCGACGAATCAGAGGCTCCGCCTCCGCCTCCTCTTCCCCGGAGTTGCCTTCTTGCTCCGCGGGTTCAGAATTAGGCGCCCCTCACCTTCCTCCGGGCGAAGACGCCATGTTGGCAGTCTTCGTGTGAAAGGTGCCCCCCCTTCATAGCCCTCTTCTTCTTCTTCTTCTTCGGGCCCTGTTGAGGCGCCTATGATGGGGTGGCGGCTGGTTCGGGCGCCTCTTGCCGAACTGAGGGGGGCGCCCCTCTGGTCATAGCAGCAAGCCGACTCTTCATCAGCTTGACAATACTGGAGTAATCCGACCCTGCACATTGTGAAAATAATTAGATCAAATCATAACGAAGGCTAAAGACAGAACACCTAGGCGCCTAAAAACCATCGTTAAAATACGCCTCAAGAATCGGTGGGCGGTTTTCGGCAATGCGCAAATCCACGCGCTCCGTTCAAATCAAACGGGCGCCATCCTTCTCTGCCTGAGACAACACCACCGGTGAGTTAAAGTCCTCAATGTGTCCTAGCTCCCACTGCCTTAGGAAGGCGCCTCTACTCTCGAAGAAGGAGTCCCCAAACGCCTTCATGAAGAAGAAGCCGTTAAACCAACTGCGGTTCAGCTTGGGACACCGTTCCACGAAGTGATAGGGGCGCTTCTTTCGTTTTTGAAGAGATAAGTAGTTGTCAAGAGGCGCCATCTTAAAAGAGTATCTAAAAAGGTTGAAAGTGGGCTCCACGTTGTACTCCCGACACCTCAACTTGAATAAGATAACGATTGTGATGACCGAGGGGGACAGGTGCCCCAATGGGCAGCCGCAAGTCGTTAGAATCCCTTCCATGATGTGGTCAAGGGGAAAACGCAGCCCGAACCGGAAGTACTCCTGATACACCCCGATCCACTTCGGCCCACAGACGCCTACTCGCGAAATAGCGGATGGAGGCGCGTACCACCAGTCGCGCGGCAGTTGAAGACTGGTAACCAGCTCGTGGACGCGTGCCAAAGTGACGGTCGACTCATGCTTTGGCCCGGCCACGTCGAAGGGCAAATGGGCCGTCTCCACTGGTAGATGATCAGGAGGAAAGGACTTCTCCCATGTTGTGATCTTGTAGGACCCATCCGCAGGTAGAAAACCCGGAGTTGAGGCGCTTGATGGACCAGCAGGCGCCCCCTCTAAACCAACAAACGACTCAGGCGCAACGTGGACGCGGAGTAAGTGATGCCCTACCCTAAATAACTAGAATGAATTCAACAAAAACAACGAACGAGAGAAGATTCCTTACCGCTTTGAGTCGGACGCCTTGCCTCACCACCTGCGCCGGAAGCGCCTACAACAGTTGCACCAACGCCCGAGGCGCCTAGGCCGGAAGTCTTGTCTTGTTGTGGCGACGACATTCTCGGCTGACAAAAGCAGGGGTGACGATGGCAGAAAATGACAGGAGAGAGGTCAGAGCAGAATTTAGAGAGAAGTCAGAGCGAAATCTTAGAGAGAGATCGAGTGGTGGAAAGTGACAAGAACTAAAGGGGGAGGGGGTATTTAAAGGAAGCGAGAATCCAAGCCAGGGCTCGCGCCGACGCACCACGTGTCAATATGAAGGGCGGACTTTTGAGCTTCCCCCCACCTTTTCCTTTTTGAAATTTCCTAGCAAGCAAAACGTGGGGACCATGTCAAAATCCCCCGTGAGGGGGGCATAAGGGTTAGGGACACCCCTCACGGAGAACACCACGAAGAGGCGCCCACGAATCACAAAGAGGAGGCACACGAAACAAAGAGCATCAACAACGGCGGGGCGCCAACCAGCGAAGATGGTCGATAAAGGCGCCCACAACCCACGAAGAGAATAAAAAACATAGAATAGAAGGCACCATAAAAAGCGGGCGCCTACAAACAAGGAGGATACAAGGCCGCGGCAGGAGAATCAGTCAGGCGCTCAAAGGTGAAGCCATGAGCACCTAACTGGGGGGCCAATTGTTGGGGGTACTACCCATCAATTAGTGGTCTGGGCCCCCAAGCAACAGAATTGGGGGGCAAGGCCCGAAAATGGTTCCGTGAAATACCTCTAGGCCCAAGCAAGAGGAAGGGCGCATAAGGACAAAACACTAAAAGCCAAGGGAGACCAGGCTGTCAGGTGGTCCATTGCCCGCGGGCGCCTATCACGCGTCAAAAGTCTGACAAGGCAGTAGAGATATCTGACAAAGAGGGTACAAAGCATTAAATAGGGACAGTGACGTGGAGGAGATCAACCTCGAGTTCGGTGAGTATAAATAGGGGCAGTTGGTAGCATTTACACAGGTTGGATTCTCTCGCTAAACTCTTCCTTTGAGACATTTCCCAATCTAAGAAACTAACTTGGGCGTCAGAGGATTAACGGGTCCAGGCGCCCCCTCCTTGCTCGTGTGTGTAGGACGGCGCCAGGCGAACAGAAGTTTCAGGTGTTTCGGCGGGTATTGTGGCACAAACAATGAATGAGAGGGCTGTTTAGACCATGATAATTTGAAGAGGAGGCGGCTAATGTTTTACTGACTACTATATTTTGCAAATTTGTTATAAAATTTCCATATGTTTCGAATTTTACTGATAAGTGTGCACTAAATATAATGTTGATTTCATCTCACATGTAATGTTTTATTCATCGTTGATTTAAAATGCCAAATTTTAGAGATGAAAACCAAATGAAATGTTGATTCCATCACATGTAATGTCGATATACAATTTCCAATTTCCTAAAAACTTATTATTAGGGCCGAAATCCAAAGAAATAGCAACTTGCACTTCTCCTCGCCTCCCCTCCCCACTTGCTCCATATATATCACCTATCAACTAATCTCAAAATTTAAATCCCTTTCCAAAACAATTTAATGCCAACTTGCTTCCCTCAAAACCCTTTTCCAATACCTTCTTGTATATATAATTTATAAATCTTCCATGAAGGGCAATTCTCCCTTCCTAATTACCATCACCGGGAAAAAATAAACTCCCTCGTCGGGGATTCACCGCCGGCGTCACGCTAAAAAGCAAACCAAACCGTACCGTTCACATCTACACGATCTAATCAGCCATGCCAGCCGCCCTCCACCTAACCCCATCTCCAGCCACCGCGGCAGCAACCTCGGTCTACCAATACAAGCAGCCGGCAGACTGCCGGCACGTGCCGTTCCTCCTGCAGGCACGTGACCACGACGACCACGCGGTGCCGGAGTACGTGGCGCGTCACCACACGCGGGCGCTGCGGCCGAACCAGTGCAGCTCGGCGGTGGTGCGGCGCATCGACGCCCCCGTCCAGGCCGTGTGGTCGGTGGTCCGTCGGTTCGACAACCCGCAGGCGTACAAGCACTTCCTGAGGAGCTGCCGCGTCATCCAGGGGGACGGCGGTGTGGGGACGCTCCGGGAGGTGCGCGTGGTGTCGGGGATGCCCGCGGGGAGCAGCACCGAGCGGCTGGAGATCCTGGACGAGGAGCGCCACGTCATCAGCTTCAGCGTGGTGGGCGGGGACCACCGCCTCCGCAACTACCGGTCCGTCACCACGCTCCACCCGGCGGCGGCGCGAAGCGGCGGGGGGACGGTTGTGGTGGAGTCTTACGTGGTGGACGTGCCGCCGGGGAATACGGAGGAGGACACGTGTAGCTTCGTGGACACCATCGTGGGGTGCAACTTGCAGTCTCTGGCTAGGATCGCCGAGAACATGGCGTCCACCGCCGGGGAGAACAATATTACTCCTCCTTCCTCATAGTTACTTCATTTACCCTCCTCGTACTTATGTTTCATTAGTTGTTTCTTCTTATCAGGGGTTTAGTTTCGTTTTTTTTTTTCTCCTTTTGATTTTGTTTAAGTAGCTAGGGATCCTCAAGAACTGCATATAAAATATCGAGGCGAAGTATTGGCGTTTATTTTTTGATCCTTTATTTCCAAAGGATTTGAGGTACGCTAGTTGTAATTGATCGAAGAAGGTCGAAAGTATATTGATCGAAGAAGGTGATATGATGAATCATGTTATTTGTATCAGCTTTGACTCTACAATGTAGTAAGCTAGTTGTAATTGTCTGTTTATTTTCCTAGCTAGGGTTTGGTGTCGAATATACACGTTGGAATTAATGGAAAGGATCATTGTCGATAATAGTGCGTCTTTGTCTTGGTACACGGTTTTGCTTCTAGGGTGCATAATGAACGATTTTTTGGGAGGTCGTTAATCTTTGCAATATTTTACTCTGCGTACGTAATTAATTTCACAGTTTTTGCAAGAAGTTCTCTATCTCAACTCGGAACGCGCGTCTTGTTAGTTAACGTTGAATTGTTTCTTTCTTATGAATAATAAATTTGTCCCGTATTTTATCGAGGTGGGATTTGTCTAAAGTAGTAGTACATTATATATGTCTCCAAACTCCAAAATTATCAATAACCAGTTAGTCTCAATAACTCGAGTTGTAACAACTAGCTAGGTGTGGTGTTTTATGCCAAAGAGATAATGGAGATTAAATTCCAAGGATTAAATTCCCCTTTGAGCACTCCATGTAGCATTGAAGAATAATTTTTTTTTTGTGTGTTCTGCATTTTACACGCAGTGTTTTGGCATATTTGGCTTACGCTTAATAAATATATCTTTCATGACATGAAGGTCCTTGCTACTGTCATCATCACCCGCAACGCTGTTAAAATGGCTATTTCTTGGGCTGCAACACATGGAAAGATCAATAAAGAGCAGAGATCCCTTAGTTTGCAAGTTTCCTCCGACGTGTTTGATCTTCCGGCATCCTATTTCTGTGATTGAATGGTTTCGTTGCTTTTTTTCACTACTATCCTCTTGAATGGTCTGGAGATGTGCTAAAAACGGCCTTGCAACAAAAGAAAGACTCTTCCATAGAAAATGCTCCCCCAACTCTACTTGCCAAGTGTGCCAGGGTCCCGTTGAGTCCCTTTTTCATTGCATTTTCTCGTGTCCCCACGCTTGGAAATCCTGGAACAATGTCTTCCCTTACCTTCCTCTGCCGGCTCAGTCTTCTTCTTTCCTCGATTGGTTGTTCTCCATCAAGGATTCTATCCATCCAGGAGCACTTATTCATGTTGTATTCCTTTGTTGGAATATTTGGAAGGCTAGAAATGAATGTGTTTTCAAGAATCGGATCCCTTGGTATCCGAACGTGATTTTGCATACTTACAAGGAGTTCATCGAATGGACAATTTGCCCGAGGAGCCCCCTTCCGATTCTCCTCCTCTTGAGCTCAGGGGATCCCATTCACTCACTTCTCCACCGCCAAGCAATCATAATCTGGTGATTCACTGTGATGGGTCGTTCTTAAGCGACTCCCAGCCGGCGACATATGGTGTTGTGGTCATTAACCACCATGGACAAGTTTGTGATGGGCGAGCTGATACTCTCCTTTGTTCCACCCCACTCGAAGCAGAATCCAAAGCTCTGTTGGAAGGTCTAAAATTAGCTCAAGAATATGACACGGAATGTGTTGTCCAGTCTGACTGCCAGGTGTTAGTGAATGCTCTTGATCAAGATCCTCGATGTTGGCCATGGCGGGTATCAGCTTGGATTGGATCAATGATCTCCATCCTCCGATCGAACCCTCAAGTAAAGGTGATCAAGGCATTTTCAAGAAAATATAATGTTAGAGCGGATTGGGTTGCTCGATCTCTTGCTAGATCTTCTCTCCCAGTTAACTGGATTAGTATGCTTGACTTAATTTCTGATTTTCTTTGATTTTTGTAATGGTTTTCTCGAGTTGAAGTGGAATAAAAGGATGAATTTTACTGTAAAAAAAAAAAAAAAAAAGAATGGTCTGTGATTGACTCTTTGCCTCCTTGCAAAGATGGCAATTTGTACTACTTTGCTCCTTGGTGCAGGGGTGGTCTGGTCCACCTTGCTTCTTCTTTTTGTCTCCCTTCTTTCCCAGCTCTTTGTTGCTTTTCATTTTTCATCATCTTTTGGCAGCTGCCTTTTGTACATTCATTTCCTCTTTTTTTAATGAAATCACCATTATAAAAAACGCTTGCTAAGCCTAAGCTGCTGGCCAGACATCCTAATTAAATGAGGAAGAGATCATGAACTCAATCTGCAGTATGCACAATTCATCATGATATACGAGGAATAGGTTGAATGGGAGCATTCTAGAGCTGCTGGCTAACCTCACTAATCCATTAATAAGTTAAAATTAATTTTGCAAACAGGCTATCAACTTGTATATTAATTTTGCAAGCTGCCAACTTGGTCTTGCGGGCCTGAAACATTACAAACACGCTATCAACTTGTATATTATATCAATTAATAAGTTGGCAACTTGTTTGCTTTTGTTTATGTGTACAACTTAAAAAATATATATTCAAACTTTGTTTTGGTCCGTTTGAATCTTGTGTGTCTGGTTGTACCAAATGCCTGCAAGCGGGGATGCTGCTAAAGAAGTAAAGAGAGCTTTCCTTTCCTGCTGCCTGCAAGTGGATACTCAAGTTGAGCAAGAAAAGAAAGAAACACCCCTTTTTCATGTTTTGTTTATGTGTTTTTTTGTGGGTATGCAGGCTGCTTCGGATTTATGTTCCCCTCTTCTTGACAAACAATTAAGAAGTAGATATGTAATTTGATGTTGTCCACATCACAGCACGTCGACGATCTGATTTGATTTGACCACTGGAGCGGCGAGAAACATGATGGTGATTTACTTAACGCGACCCATTCCACCGAAAAACAGTCGATGTAATCGAGAAGGGAAGAAATATATATGAACAACTTTATACTGATCATGCTCCTGTGATAAAATAGAACACAGTTAAATGCATATCCCTTACTAGATGTAGATATAGAAGCCTAGAAATTAACCATCAACAGTGGTGACAAGTTTCGTTCATCTCACCTTGACGAACTCTAACGAACAAGCTCTTGATAATAGGGCTGGAAGTTTGGTATCGGTATTTGGGATATACCGAATACCGTATCGAATTTGTCTACATTTGGTATTACCGAATATACGGATTGGGATTGAGATTCAATTTCAATTGTTATTCGGTATTAGGGATTATGGGATTGAGATCGGTATATACCGAACAATACCGAAATATAAGCTAGTGTGTGTTTTATCCTCTCAACTAGACTCTCTCATTCACTACTACAATACCCTCAACCACCAATATTTTGTTATTTTCATAACAAAAAAAAAGCAAACACTAGTATATTAATCTTCTCTCAGTCTCCAATTCGTCAAAATAAAGATTACCAATGAAAAAAACTTGAGATGCCACCTCTACTCCATTCTCCTTATCCATATCCTAGCTCTAGCCAAACTCAAAACTCTTTGTTTAGTCTTTTTGACCTATATTAAACAATCAAATCTAATTTATATATTTAATTATTAATTATAAAGGTAATTAATTTCGTATTACCGATTGGGATACCGAAGTACCGATTGGGATACCGAAATATTTAGGAATTGGGATTGGGATACCGAAATTATTTAGGGATTGGAATTGGGATTGATTCTAGGGTGTAATTTGGTACTCGGGATTTCGGTATTTGGTATTGGAATACCGATACCGTACCGATTTCCACCCCTACCTGAGAATACTTAAAAGCAAGGTTTGTGAAACCGTATTTAGGTCATTGCCGGAAAAATCAATAACATGACATTTCGTAGTAAAACCGTGATTTATCCACACATGGTTCAACAATTTCCTATCGTTAAAATCACCTATCATTTTAGTTTAGATATACGCTATTTCAAATCGGACCGACCGATAGGATTTGCTAAACATATCTAACAGTGTCAGTCAGCGTCACGTACTCACGTTCTCTCTAGTTTGCATGCCAAAATGCCTTAGCCGCCCGCAAATACCCTCCGCATTTCTTTTGGATTGGCTTGGTGGGCCTTATATTGGTCCCAAGCCAAGCGTCACATATGAAATGAATAACTCTAAATCTAAGCCTCATGGATTTAAGCCCTTTTCCGTCATTCCAGGCCAGCCTCCTACATTTTGTCAAGCTCCCACGACCATGTTTTAGACTTTTAGTCGGCCTTCTTCCACCTCTCACCCATATATCATCTGTTACGCTCCGCTTAGCATCGTTTGTTGTGATCTTTTTATGAATATTGTGACAACACAAGGAAAACAGAAACAACATAACAACTTAAAACAAAAATGTCCAAAAAAAAAACTTAAAACAAAAATGCGTTTGGTTCGCAATTTCGGAAAATCTTAAATCAGAAACTATAATGTGGTTCGTTATTCTTTTGTGAAACAAAAAACAAGTACCTAGTGAAACAAAAACGAGCATCCACGCAAGTTATTATGTGTCATCATGGTCTTCATGAAAACGAATACCTCATCAAGTTATTATGACTAACGGAGTAACAGTACGGAACCGTACAATGGCCTAAGTCTCAAAAGTCAAAACAAAGGCATTCATAGTCTCGAATGAAAGTGATCCGATAGATACCAATTGTTCATTCAACTCTCTGCCAACAAACAACATTTCAGGGAAACTTATTTTGAATTCGAATATGGACCGAGGATACTGCAGCAGAGCTTGTAGTACTTTTCTATATGGCCTAACACTAATCCGAGTGGGTAAAGAATAAGATTACACACCAAACTCAGAATTTAAATCAAAACATGTATAACTCATATACCACATTCCAGTCAACTATATATAATTCGATTCAATTCACATCGAACAATTGTTGAAATGGTAAGTCTGATTTGTCAATCTCCCAAGACCGTTGCAGGATGCTCAATTCAAGC